CAGGCATAATTGCCAATCGGGACTGCCAATTTAAGTGAGAATTTAAGTCATATATCTGTATTTGAAGAGGTATCACAGAAATTATAGACTAGACTGTGAACAGAGATGATACCCATCATTAGGGGTTACAGAATGGAACAGCTACTCTGACTTTCAGACACAGGGGCCATAATGATTAGCTATATCCAGCAACTATCAGCTGTAGCAGGTAGTAGAGCTCATTGCCTTTGTCCAAAGAAATCCCAGCCAGGTAGATCCTGCTGCTTTCTGAGCCTTTCCCATTATCGATATAAATACCCCCCAAAAAACCAAACAAAACAACAAACAAACAAAAAAACCCAACCAACCAATGAACCAAAACCAAACCACCCCACAAAACCAAACAAAACCAGCCAACCAAGCAAGCAAACCCCCCAAACCCCCAATAACAACAACAAACCCCAAACAAGACAAAACCACAAAAAAACCAAAACCAAACCAAAACAAACACCCCAAAACACAAAAAATAAGTACAGCTCAGTCTTCCGGACTTCTCAGCTGGAATACATGCCAGGTGCTTCAGATGGACAAAAGGAAGTCCTGCTCATTGCTGAGACACAAAACTTCTCTGGAGTTACCTGGATAATAAATAAACTACATGGCAAGTAAGTCTATACTTGTGTAAGAAAGCTGCACGGTATCACAACTGATATCTCGTTCTCTGTTATGTATTAGAAGTTTGAAAGATTTTTATTTGAAGTGGAGCATGACTACCCTGGGGCCTCTTCTACCAATTAGCCAGCTGCAAATGAAGTACAACATAGATCTCACCCAGTGGATGCAGGGATTTATCCTGCAGCCAGATGCAGAGGTCACCCAAGCAGAGGCACACTTTATAGTGACATCAAGAGTCTTGATTTGCCCTTCTCGTTCTGGAAAGCAGTCACACTGCAGTGACCACAGGCAACTTACACAAATACAATGATGTCAACACAATTGGAGACTTCTGATTGTGAAAACATGAAGCCCCATTATTTTGCACCAAAATGGCTCAGTTCCTGATAGAAATGCAGGACAATAATTAGAAATTTATTAGTGAGCTAGGGTATTTTGTTGATGGAGATCATAAAAGCACCTAATTTTGTCATTCTCCTTCTGAAATGTATGACAAAGTGGAAGAAGCTTGGCTTAGTTACGTTAAAGATCAAAATTATTTCTTACTCAGTTTATAATGATTTGTTCTCAGACTTTTATCCTTGCAAAAATAACTTTTTCTTTCTGGGTTCGGACATTTAATGCCTTTTTTATCATATTATGGGTAACAAGATGCATTTTCATCTTTTGTTCTGCAAACTCGAATGGCAGAGGGGTTTTTTTTGCGTCATTGTTTCTTCCACCAGAGGTCAAAATAAATCTATTAGTAATTAAGCCTCATCAAGTGGCCAAAGAATTTATTACTCCTTAATAAGCTTGTTACTAGACTAAGTGGAAGCAATGGCCTAGGTGAGACAGCTCCTGTTATTTTTTGCATGGTAGCATTAACAGCAGACATTAATACTCATTTCTTACTAATGCTTTCAAATTCATTATAAATGAGGAAAACAAAATTAATGGGCTTGAGTTTACAGTGGATTTCCATTAGGGGCTTGTGTTCTAACTGCCAACACATCTGGATTTCCTAGGAATTAATGGGTTTAACCACAGTGTCGTTGTTTTTTATGGAAAATAATTGATTAAGTTGTGTAAAAGGTTTTGTAAAAGCATTCAAAACAATGGGAAAATTCCCAGTTGCCTCCTCTTGCTTTTAGCACAATGATCTATAACTCCTTGTGCTTGATCATAAATTGATGTGTAATTTTCACAGATTGTGATATAGGATATATTTATAGTCTCACAGTAAAAAGAATTAGAGAAACGAGACTTTGGAAAGGGAAAACCTTTGTCAAAACACAGATTCACATGTGTTGCATGCTGTGACGAAATATAGTTGCAGTACACAGAAGCAGTTACACATCTTATAAAACAGCACTGAAAATGAAAAGGCAAACCAACTTGTTGTCCATATTTCTGAATTATTTTGGTATCATGCATTCATTTCTCACAAGTATTTTGTGTGGGATGGAGAAGCATGGGTTACAAAGAAGGAAGAACGTCTTTAAGAGCAGAATTTGTCAGCACAATATAGCCCTGGAAGGGGTTTCAAGAGGTCACTTGCACCAAAGCTGGCTGACAGTCTGACTCTCAAAATGTTTGTGCAACCCCTGTTAAGACTCCTTCAATTATGGCAATGTCACTTAGTCCTTTAGTATCTTAAGATAATGTTTACTTCTTAATAGCTCACCTGAACGTTGCTGCATTTTGAACCCATCATTTCTTGCCCTGCCTTATTAGGTCATAAAGAAGAAACTGTGTCTTTCAGATATGGATCTACAATCCGTCAAAGGACTGCTGGAGGCCTGTGCAAGACAACTCTACATAGTTTGATAGGCTGAGAAACTTTGAAATACAGTCAGTTCCTGCAGTACTAAAAGATGTCCTGCATGCTTTGTAATAACAGTGTCAGATCTGGACCATATGCTGAGCATACAGGCTAAGTAATTAAAAAAGTATTACAGCATTTAAGGGCAGACATGTATAATAACTAGTAGGAAGAACAGCATCCAAACAGGGAAGGGACATCAAATTTATGTAACAAAGGTGACACAGTGTTGTGGGACTCAGTGTTGACAACATGATCGCCAGTATATTATCCTGATTTCGACTTCTGTGCATAATTAAGAAAATAACCTGAGCAATTAATTCAATCTTGAATAGTGTCTGAGTGAATGACAAGTGAATATAGGTAACAGAAACACACACACAGTCAAAATTAATATGGTTTAGTGGGTGATTGGCTATGGAAAGTGTTAAATTGAAGAGAGATCCTTTGTCAACAGTAGCCAGCAAGGGAGGATGTGCTGGTTTTAGTTGGGAATAGAGTTAATTTTCTTCACAGTAGCTGGTATGGGCTATGTTTTGTATTTTTGTTAGAAAAAGTGTTGATAAAACGGATGTTTTCATTATTGCTGATCAGTGCTTACACAGTGTCAAGGCTTTTTCTGCCTCTCATACCACCCCATCAGTGAGGGGGCTGGGGGTGCACAAGAAGTTAGGAGAGGACACAACTGGGACAGCTGACCCTAGGTCACCCAAGGGATATTCCATACCTTATGGAGTCATGCTCAGCATATAGAGATGGTGGGAGAAGAAGGAAGGGAGAGACATTTGTCCCCTCCCCAAGTAGAACCTTTCCAGGGGATGGCTGAACACCTACCTGCCCACGGGAGTGGTGAAGGAGTTCCTTGTTTTGCTTTGCTTGTGTGAGCAGTTTTTGTTTTGCTTTAACTATTAAACTGTCTTTATCTCAACCCATGAGTTTTCTCACTTTTACTATTCCAATTCTCTCCCCCATCCCACTGGGATGGGGTTGGGGGGGGAGTGAGAGAGGAGCTGTGTGGTGCTTACTTGCTGGTTGGGGTTAAACCATGGCAAGGGCTCTCCAACACTTGCCTTCCTGTTAAGAGAATATCTGCTATATATTCTGCACAGAAACTGAAAAGCCTTGCCTTATCTTGCCTCGCCCTTCCTTGTGAAGGCCTTTCTTCTCCTCATATATGGCATGTACCATGGAGAGGGAGAGAATACACAGTGCGCACTCCTAACACAGAAAGAAAAGCCTTGTCTCAGGCTATATATTCCTAAAACAGCATATATTACCTACACAAATAGAAAAGTCTAACTTAGGCAAAATGATGGGAGGTGTGGGTATTGTACATGTACATGCCTGTGCCCTGAGTCAGGGACATGGAGCAGCCTCACAGAATGGGTCAGTTTGGAAGGGACCAGAGGGGGTCACCTGGTCCAACCTCCCTGCTCAAGCAGGGTCCTCCTAGAGCACATTGTACAGGATTGCACTCAGGGTCTTGAATATCTCCACAGAGGGAGACTCCACAGCCTCTCTGGGCAATCTGTTTCGCAGTCACCTGCACAGTAATGAAATTCTTCCTCACATTCAGGTGGAAGTTCGTATGCATAGTTTCTGCCCATTGCCTCATGTCCCATTGCTTGGCACCACCAAGAAGAGCCTGGCTCCATCCCTGTGGCACTTCACCTTTATATTTATCCACACTGATGATGTCCCTTCTCAGTTGTCTCGTCTTCATGCTAAACAGGCCCAACTCCCTCCATCTTTCCTCGAAAGAGAGATGCTCCAGTACCCCAGTGTTCCTCATAGCTCTCCACTGGACACGCTCCCGGACCTCCATGTCTCCCATACTGAGGAGCCCAGAGCTGGACTCAGCACTCCAGGTTCACCAGGGCTGAGCTGAGGGGCAGGATCACCTCCTTCTCCACACCCTCCCCCTGGCCTGTCCGCCCGCACCCGCAGGGTCGCTGACGGGGCGTGCGGCCCCGCAGACTAAGCGGGGCGGCCCCGCCGCACCGGCGGGTCCCGCATGAGCGGGCCTGGGGAGCCCGTCCCGGGGCCGGGCCCGGGCTGTGCCGGGCGGGCCGCGGAGGCGCCGCCAGGGGGCG